CTGTGGGATTTTAAGAAGCCTGTCTAAGAATATTCCAAGATGAGTCTCCAAGGTCACCATGGCTGGATTCTGCCTCTGCGTGGACCTTAACAGCATGATCAATTCCCTATGATGCAAGAGGGATGTGAACACCTGACATGGCCAGTGACTTAGAGATTCTTAAGTCTATTAACCTACTGACACCTCAAGAGGTCCTGTGAGACACCAACGGGGCTTTGGGACTCCAGGAAAAGGTAATCTTCTCAAGACACCCAGGAGTGAGGAATTGCTTTGTATGTATGTCTGATTTCCTCCCTTCACAGTCTCTAGCCTTTTCTCCAATTAAAACTCACTATCTGAGGCCCCTGAGTTTAGTTCTGAAGAGAGGACAGGAGGCCAGCCTCCACAGCAGACCCAGTGCAAAGCTTAGTCTGTGCAGCCTTCTGCTTCCTGACCTCTGCTCATTTTATCCTAAATGGAGGCGTCCCACATGGCTGCCTCCCCAACGCTATCATGGTGGTAGATTTGTGTCTGCAAAGTTATCTAAGATGTGGTTCTGGGGTGTCTGAGCACGGTCTGACCCTTCCTTCCCTTCCCTCAGAATTATGAACAAAAGGATAATGCATGTAACCTTTAGATGCTGATTATGGGGTATGGGAATAGATAACAGATGAGGGTGGAGGGACTATTCCTAGCAATTGGTGTGTATTTGGCTGATTGGTAACTGTTTACAGACTTGTTTCTTTCTAGTGTGTACCACTTAAAATCATTTTCTTTGTAAATTTTAAAAGCCATATGGAAATAAAAGCCACCACCTTGATTACTCTTCTTTGTACTTCAATCAGCAGCATGTCAGCCTCTGAATGAACTGTAATTCCTTCACTATGCCTGTCGAGAAGAGCATTTAGGCCACATTAAAAAATATATCTTGGTAAAGGTCTCAAGAACAATTAGCAATTGAAATAATCTATTTTCTACCTTTTACTTTATAAACATGGCTGCTTGATTGACTTCACAGTCTTAAGTACTGCACTGCTGGGGAGTCCCGTCTTCCCTAATTCCACAGCTCTTAGACTCACTGGAGGTACCTGAAGTGTTGTGAAGTAGCTCATGGTGGTCATTACCACATCTTTTTTTAAATCTGAGACAGGGTCTCACTCTGTGCCCAGGCTGGCATGCAGTGGTGTGATCTCTGCTCACTGCAGCCTTGACCTCTTGGGTTCAGGTGATCCTCCTACCTCAGTCTCCTGAGCAACTGAAACTGCAGGCACATGCCTCCAAGCTCAACTACTTTTTTTGTATTTTTTGTAGAGACAGGGTTTCACCATGTTGCCCAGGAGGGTCTTGAACTCCTGAGCTCAACCTATCTGCCCACGTTGGCTTCAAAGCTCTGGGATTACAGGCATGAGCCTTCCATGAATTTCCAATTTGATTTTTGTTTCCAAGTAAATCTCTAAAAAAAATGCTCATTAAAAATGAATCTTTCAAATCCCTAGTATTTGTATTGCTAACATTTACATTCCAGGATGATTTGTTATTAAAATGCATTTTCAAGCAATTTTGTCCACTTTCTCCATTATTTTCCCCTTTAAACTGATTTTACAAACCATGATGAGATACCATCTCACATCAGTCAGAATGGATATTACTAAAAAGCCAAAAAATAAGAGATGCTGATGAGTTTGTGGAAAAAAAAGAAAGAAACACTTATACACTGTTGGTGGGAGTGTAAATTAGTTCAATTATTACGGAGAGCAGAATGGCGATTCCTCAAATAACTGAAAATGGAACTACAATTGGACCCCGCAATCCCATTACTGGGATATACCCAAAGGCATACAATCCTTCTATCATAAAGAGACATGCACACGTATGTTCACTACACACTATTAACACTAGCCAAGACATGGAATCCACCTAAATGCCAATCAATGGTAGGCTGGATAAAGAAAATGGTAACATATACACCATGGAATACTATGCAGCCAACAAAAGGAATGAGATATGTACTTTGCAGGAACATGGATGGAGTTGGAGGCCACCCTCCCTTAGCAAACTAATACAGGAAAAGAAAACCAAATATTACATGTTCTTCCTATAAGTGGGAGCTAAATGATGAGAACACATGGACACATAGAGGAACAACAGACATTGGGGCCTATTGGAGGGCAGAGAGTGGGAGGAGGGAGAGGATCAGGAAAAGTAACTAATGGGTACTAGGCTTATTATCCAGGTGACAAAATAATCTGTACAATAAACACGCATGACACAAGTTTACCTATATAACAAACCTCCATGTGTATCTCAGAACTTAAATCTCCTTAAACTGAAAAGCAAATTCAGCAAAGTCTCAGGATAGAAAATCAAGCATTCCTATACACCAATAACAGACTTAACGAGAGCCAAATCAAGAACAAACTGCCATTCACAATTGCTACAAAGAGAATAAAATACCTAGGAATACAATTAACAAAGGATGTAAAGGACCTCTTTACGGAGAACTACAAACCACTGCTCAGGGAAACGAGAGGACACAAACAGATGGAAAGACATTCCATGCTCATGGTTAGGAAGAATCAATACTGTGAAAATGGCCATACTGCCCTAAGTAATTTATAGATTCAATGCTATCCCCAAAAAGCTAGCTGTGACCCTCTTCACAGAACTGGAAAAAACCACCTTAAACTTCATACGGAACCAAAAGAGAGCCCGCATAGCCAAGACAAGCCTAAGCAAAAAGAACAAAGCTGGAGGCTTCATGCTACCTGACTTCAAACTATGCTACAAGGCTAGTACAGAGCAGAATGGCGTAATCAAAACAGCAAAATACTGGTACCAAAACAAAGATATAGATCAATGGAACAGAACAGAGGCCTCAGAAATAATGCCACACATCTACAACCGTCCGATATTTGACAAACCTGACAAAAACAAGCAATGGGGAAAGGATTCCCTGTTTAATAAATGGTGTTGGGATAGCTGGCTAGCCATGTGCAGAAAACAGAAACTGGACCCCTTCCTGACACCTTACACTAAAATTAACTCCAGATGGATTAAAGAATTAAACATAAGACCTAACATCATAAAAACCCTAGAAGAAAACCTAGGCAAAACCATTCAGGATATAGGCATAGGCAAGGACTTCATGACTAAAACACCGAAAGCATTGACAACAAAAACCAAAATAGACAAATAGGATCTAATTAAACTTCAGAGTTTCTGTACAGCAAAAGATATAATCATTAGAGTGAAACAGCAACCAATAGAATGGGAAAATATTTTTGCAATCTACCCATCTGACAAAGGGCTAATATCCAGAATCTACAAAAAACTAAAACAGATTTACAAGAAAAAAAACAAACCCATTCAAAAGTGGGCAAAGGACATGAACAGACATTTTTCAAAAGAAGACATATATGAGGCCAACAAACATATGAAAAAATGCCCATCATCACTGGTCATTAGAGAAATGGAAATAAAAACCACAGTGAGATACCGTCTCATGCCAGTTAGAATGGCGATCATTAAAAAATCTGGAAACAACAGGTGCTGGAGAGGATGTGGAGAAATAGGAACACTTTTACACTGTTGGTGGGAGTGTTAATTAGTTCAACCATTGTGGAAGACAGTGTGGCGATTCCTCAAGGTCCTAGAAATAGAAATTCCATTTGACCCAGCAATTCCCATTACTGGGTTTATATCCAAAGGATTATAAATCATTCTATTATAAAGACACATGCACACGTATGCTTATTGGGGCACTGTTTATAATAACAAAGACCTAGAACCAACCAAATGCCCATCAGTGATAGACTGGAAAGGGAAAATGTGGCACATATACACAATGGAATATTAAGCAGCCATAAAAAACGATGAGTTCGTGTCCTTTGTAGGGACGTGGATGAATCTGGAAACCATCATTCTCAGCAAACTGACACAAGAACAGACACTTCTACAGGATTGAAGGTGACGCTGATGGCAGAGGGTTAGCAGTGCTGAGGCATTTTGGAATGCCATGTCTGAGAAGTGAAATTTCATTACCTGTGTTAACACATCTGGTACTCAGCTGAGATCCCAGATAGGCTTTAAGAATAAGGACACACCTGCCAAAGCCTAAAGTCCAGCCCCAACAATATCTCTTCCAAACTTCAGCTTAGTTGGGGAAGGAAATGTGATTTTAGTAAGAAAGAGGACAAAAGGAGAATGGGTGCACTGGACCAATTTTACCTAATATTTAATTTTGCTAAAGATGGATGTGGGGGAATGTTATGAACATGAGGGGGAGTGTAAGGAAGGAGGAAGAGGAGCTAGCACATGCGGAGGCCCAGACATGATGGAAGCTGGTTCCACAGAGCTAAGGAAAGAACTGTTTGGTCCCAACCCAGATTTTCTCCTATTTTTGCATCTCTGAAATTGGACATGCCTTGCAATATAAGTTATTTTACCATTTTAACTGGCAGAATTGTTTTTTCTTAATGTCACATAAAATAATGGTGCATCTCATGGTTGGTATTTCAGATTTACTGAAATAAGGTAGTCCTGTTAGACTTGAGAAAAAGCATAAGAATTTATAGGAAAAAAGGCTGAGAAAGTCGACAGGTGGGAGGCACACCATACATCTAGTATTAACGGGTTGAATTTTATCCCAAGTGTAATGAGAAGCCATTAAAGGATTTTAATAGCAAACTTGCTTGATCAGATTTGTATATTTTGGAAAATAAGTGATACGGTTTGGATATTTGTCCCTTCCAAATCTCATGTTGAAATTCCATCCCCAGTTTGGAGGTGGAGCCTAGTGAGAGGTGTTTAGGTCATGGGGGTGGACTCCTCATGAATGGCTTGGTGTCATCCCCGTAATAATGAGTGAGTTCTTGCTCTATGAGTTCCTGGAAGATCTGGTTATCTCAAAGAGACTGGCATCCCTTCCCTCTCTTTCTTTCTTTAGTGCCATGGGATGCCAGCTCCCCTTTGCTTTCTGTCACGACTGGAAGCTTCCTGAAGTCCTTGCCAGAAGCAGATGCCAGCACCACACTGCTTGTACAGCCTGCAGAACTGTGAGCCAAAGAAACCTATTTTCTTTATAAATTACACAGGCTCAGGTATCCTTTTATAGCAATGTAAACAGACTAAGATAATAATTCTATCTCTAATGGGGAGGATGGAATGGAAGGGAGCATGCGGAAAAGATTTAGGAGATTTTTGGAGTAATCCAGAGGGAGATGATTATCTTCTGGACTGGCGTTGCAAGTATGGGATGGAGACTGCGGAATTGAGAGAAATTTAGGAGGTAAAACCTTCAATTCTTGTTGATGGTCTGAATGTGTGGAAGGGGGCAAGGGAGGAGTCACAGCTGATACCCAGACTTCTGAAGTGGGCAATCAGATTGGTGGTGGAGCCATTTAAGAAGATAAGGAACAGAGGAGAAGGAGTATTACTACAAGGAGAAGATGGAGATTTCTATTGTGTTTGAGGTTCTTGGGAGACACAAAAGGGAAGATATCCAATAGACACTTGGATATATGGGTCTGATACTCAGGAGGCAGATCCAAGCTGATGCTCTAGACATGGGAATTATGAGCCTATAGTTGTAATTGAACAACTGAAGTTAAGGGAGTGGATGTGGATTGCCTAGGGAGGGTATACAGTGTGAGGAGAGGTAAGAGCAATTACAAAAGCTGGAGGGTCATGAACGCTTAAGTGATGGGCAGAGGCAGGGCATCCCACAAGGAAAATAAGAAGGACTAGCTAAAGAAGGAGGAGAAAAAGCAGAAGAGTGTAATGTCATGGAAGCCAAGGATAAAAGAGTGACCAGAGAGACCATAAATGGTCAATTCTGTGAAATGCTAAGGAGAGGTCAGAGGGAGAGACCAGAAATGCCTGCTGCATTTACTTAGTAACTTCTGTTTTTTTCAATACAACTAAAAAAAAAAAAAAAGAAAAGAAAAGAAAATGGGGAACATTTTTGTAGTATAAATAAGGAGCTCTTATAATTTAGTAATAAAAAGACAAGTTCTATAGAGAAATGGACAACAGACATTGAAAAGCAACTTTCAAGAACAGAAATTAAAAATGACCAAAATATATTAGAAAATAACTTCAGACTCATAATTAATAATGAAATGCTAGTTAAAGCAATACTTCCTCAATCCCATTTACAATAGCCATACAAGAAACATTTTCTAGGAATACATTTAATTAAGCAAGTGAAAGTCTTCTACAAGGATAACTACCAAACACCACTGAAAGAAATCACAGATGACATTAACAAATGAAAAGCATTCCATACTCATAGATTGAAAGGATCAATATCTTTAAAATGGCAACACTACCCCAAACAATCTACAGATTTAATGTTTCCTATTAGACTACCAATGTCATTTTTCACAGAATTAGAAAAAACTATTCTAAAATTTCAAAAGAAAAAGTCCACATAGCCAAAGCAATCCTATTAAAAAAAAAAAAAGCCAGAGGCATCACACTACCAGACTTCAAACTATATTACAAGGCTACAGTGACCAAAACAGCATGGTACTTGTACAAAAACAGACACATGGAGAACCCAGAAATAAAGCCACATACCTACAACCAACTGATCTTTGACAAAATTGACAAAAATAAGCAACGGAGAAAGGCCTCCCTATTCAATAAATTATGCTGGGATAGCTGGCTAACCATATGCAGAAGAATAAAACTGGACACCTACCATTCACCATATACAAAAATTAACTCAAGATGGATTAAAGAACTAAATATAAGACCTCAAACTATAAAAATCCTAGAAGAAAGCCTAGGAATACCCTCTGGACATCAGTCTTGGCAAAGAATTTATGACTACGTTCTCAAAAACAATTGCAACAAAAACAAAAATTGTCAAGTGAGATCTAATTAAACTAAAAAACTTTTGTACAGCAAAAGAAACTATCAAAAGAGTAAACAGACAACCTCCAGAATGGGAAAATATATTCACAAACAACGCACCTGATAAAGGTCTAATATCCAGAATCTATAAGGAACTTAAACAATTCAACAACCAAAACTCAAATAACTCCATTAAAAATGTGCAAAAGACATGAACAGACACATCTCAAAAGAAGACATGCAAGTGAGTGATTATCAGCAGTGTTCTTTGGTTCATCAGTAATCATCGGATAAATGCAAATAAAAACCACAATGAGATGGCATTATACAACAGTCAGAATGGCTATTATTAAAAAGTCAGAAAAACAACAGATATTGGTGAGGCTACAGAGGAATAGGCATATTTATACACTGCTGGTAGAAATGTAAATTCAGCCACTGTGGAAAGCAGTTTGGAGATTTCTCAATGAACTTAAAACCGAACTGCTATTCAATCTAGTAATCCAATTATCCCAATTTACCCAAAGTAAAATAAATCATTCTACCAAAGACATGCATGTTCATCGCAGCACTATTCACAATAGCAACGACGAGGAATCAACCCAGGTTCCTATCAACAGTGAAATGGATAATGGAGACATGGTACATATATGCAATGGAATGCTGCACAGCCATAGAAAAGAACAGAATCATATCATTTGTGGCAACATGGATGGAGCTACAGGCCATTATCCTAAGCAAATTAATGTAGAAACAGAAAATCAAATACTGCATGTTCTTACTTATAAGTGGGAACTAAATAGTGGATACTCATGGACAGAAAGATGGGAATAACGGATACTGGGGACTACAGGAGGAAGGAGAGAGGGAGGGTGGCAAGGACAGAAAAGCACCCTGTTGGGTACTATGCTCACTACCTGGGTGACAGGTTCAATTGCACCCCAAACCTCAGCATTACACATCAAACTGCAAAGATTTTTAAAAGTGGGTACAATAGCATAGGCCAGGTTTAGACAAGAAGTACCCTATGCACTACTACATGGATTCAAGGGAACCAGCCCCTAGCAATATTTGTCAATGCTTTTTATATATAGCATATCTTTGCCAATAATTCCTTAAAAGAATAATCTGAAATATATAGAGAGATGTATATGTAGATATCTTATATAGCTACTACTGTGTATAATAGTAAAATATTGGCAAAAGTATGCAAGTCCAGCAATAGGGGGTAAGTTAAGAAAAACTGTGGTATGTCCATCAGCTCTTAGAGTGGTAGATGGATGGTATGATGACATAGAAAAATGTTCAAGAGAAATTGTGAAGTGAAAATAAGGAGGGGGTGGGTTGCAAGCCAGCATGTTTGCTGCAGCTTCAATTTTTGTATACTGACAAATAACAAAAGCACTGGGTAAGGGCATAGAAAAACACTGAGAGGATTTACATCCCATCATGAACGGCCAGAGGCTCCAGATGGTGACATAATAAGAGCTTTTCACTTTGCACTATTTGGTATTTTTTTCATTTTTCTTAATCAACTATGTTAATTTTGTAATAATTTTAAATATGTACATAGATTAAATGTGAATAAATTAAATGACTATGTAGGGTATGCGCTAAAGTCAGCTAAATTTCAGAAACAATGCCTTGTATTTTAGGGCACTGCCTCTGTAGCCCTGTAAGTTGGCAGTGCCTGAACACCAGAACGAGTTATTTTTTTGAGATCACTCTTTGTTCACACCAGGAAAAACCTGCTTTCTGTGTTTAAGAAACCTGCTTTCTGTGTTTCCCGATCTATCCACCCCAGCAGGAGGGTATGGATGCAGCCTGCCCAGTCAAAAAGAAGGAAGGCCAGAACACATCCCACAGGAAGTTGCTAACAGATCCATAAAAGATTTTTTTATTGATCTTTAGTCTACAGTCCTAAGGTTCTGATTCCATGTAAGCACCACCCCGGGTACTTTAATAATTTTTGTTTGATTGTTGGAGACACAATCTTGCTCTGTTGCCCAGGCTAGAGTGCAGTGGTGTGATCTTGGCTCACTGCAACCTCTGCCTTCTGGGTTCGAGCAATTCTTTTGCCTCAGGCTCCTGAGTAGCTTGGACTATAGGTACCACCACGCCTGGTAATTCTTTTGCATTTTTAGTAAAGACAGGGTTTCACCAGGTTGGCCAGGCTGGTCTCGAACTCCTGACCTCATGATCTGCCCACCTCAGCCTCCCAATGTGCTGGGATTACAGGTGTGAGTCACTGCACTTGGCCAGTTTTGTAACTTTTAAAATCAACTGCATTCTGTCTGGCAAATAACTAAGACCTAGGCTGAAAGCCAGGGGGCTCAGATGGCTTGTTCCACTTGCAGATGGCAGCCAAGGTCTACTTTTCATAACCTCATTTTGCGCATTTGCATGCAGACCACTGGACTCAGCCCATACACCTAGCTCTGGTCACCAGAGGCTGAGACCACCAAGTGGATGCATGTCATAAGAACTGAGTTTGGATGGAGGTTTTTAAACAAATATTTTTGAGGTAGTAAGAAATTTACAATATTCTCCAAATGTTATAACATCTAGATGACCACCTCCTTTCATTTTTACGTCACACCTCAATCAACTGGCTGGGACTGGGAAGTTTTGTTTTTGTCATTTGGAAGACCTGCTCAAACCAGACAGATGGAAGTGATTTTAAATTATAGGCGACCCACTGATTTGAGGTTTAAGGATGACCAACTCCTGAAAGTCCCCTAAATCAGAGGGTTTTTTGTTTCTGTCTGTTGGTTTTAAGACAAGGCTCACAGGGTGGAGCGGAGTGGTGCCATCACGGCTCACTGGAGCCTCTACCTCCCTGGCTCAAGCGATGCTCCCACCTCAGCCTCCTGAGTAGCTGGGATTATAGGCACATACCACCATGCCTGGCTAATTTCATATTTTTTGCAGAGACAAAGTTTTGCCGTGTTTCCCAGGCTGGTCTTGAACTCGGATCAAGCAATCCACCTGCCCTGGCCTCCCAAAGTGTTGAGATTACAGGTGTGCCTACTGTGCCCAGCTCAAATCAGAGTTCTAAAAGCCCATGGATAGTGATAGGTAGAGTATGGAAGATTTTGGCTCTTTCTCCATCACAGCCCCACTACCCCTAGTGCAATCTTCAAGCCAGTGACATCTAACACAGCTCTGCTACGAATAATAAGGGAGAAAAACAATGTTCTCTGTCACTCAGGCGATTACTGAGAACACACTACCTCTAGTCACTATGCTAAATATTTGATAGCCATGATCTCATGTAATCCCTGCAACTACCCTATAAGATAGATGTTGACAGTCTCATTTTACAGTTGAAGAGTTAAGTGACATGCCCAAAGTTACCCAGTTAGCAGGGTCAAAATTAAGATTTCAATCCAGATTTTTCTTTTCCTTTCTTCCTTCCTTTTCTTTTTTTGATAGGATTTTGCTGTTGTGCATGCTGGAGTGCCGTGGCTTGATCATAGTTCACTGCAGCCTCAAACTCCTGGGCTCAAGGAGTCCTCCTGCCTTAGTCTCCCGGGTAGCCAGGACTACAGGTATGCACCACCTTACCTGGCTAATTTTTTATTTTTGTAGAAATAGGGCCTCACTATTTTGCCCATGCTGGTCTTGAATTCCTGGCCTCAAGTGATTCCCCCACCTAGGCCTCCCAAAGTGCTAGGATTATAAGGATGAGGCACCAGGACCAGCCTCAAATCCAGAATTTTCTGACTCCAAAATCTGTGGGGCTTCTTTCTTAGTACTACTTAACTATCATAATTCTTTTTTTTTTTTAGACAGAGTCTCGCTCTGTCACCCAGGCTGGAGTACAGTGATGTGATCTGGGCTCATTGCAACCTCCACCTTCCGGGTTCAAGCGACTTTCCTGCCTCAGCCTCCAGAGTAGCTCTGGGATTACAGGTGCACACAACCATGCCCAGCTAATTCTTGTATATATATATATATATTTTTTTTTTTTTTTTAGTAGAGATGGGGTTTGACCATGTTGGCCAGGCTGGTCTCTAAATGCTGACCTCAGGTGATCCTCCTGCCTCGGCCTCCCAAAGTGCTGGGATTGCAGGTGTGAGCCACCACACTCAGCCAACTATCATAATTCTTTAGCACAACTTTTACAATTTTTCCCATGGAAGCCACCGAAAGACCATCAGAGAGACAGCCTGATTAAGTTGGCAGCCACGCCCATCCTGTAACCTCCTTTTCGGGGTGCCTGGGTGGGGAGCAGCTGCTGATAGAGCCTGGTGTCAGCACACTCTGCAGGAGGGTGGTGTCAGTCCTTGCGCTGACCTCAGGATGCTGGTCCCAGCTCCCAGAGCTCCGCTCATCTTTCTGATGGCCCCCATCCAGTTATGTGTCGTGGATCAAACATCCCGGATCAATACTGCTTCAGTTCCAGCCATACATGCTCAATGCAGTGAAACTGCTGCCCCAGAAAAAAATGACAGAGCCAGCCACGCCAAGGCAAGAAGCCCGCCTTTCTCAGTGCCAGATTTGTCTGTGTCGCCGTGATCAGCTGCTTTTCTCCTGAGCTGCGTGCTATTGCTGTGCTGGCCCAGGGACACAGGATTTCTAGGTCACCTGAAAGATAAAACCCTCACCCAGGAAGCAGCAAGAGGGAGTTTGGGACATCAAAACCAGCAAGCTCATAGGATACCGCACATAGCTGCTCCGCCCCGGCTACTGTGGACCTGGAGCGACATGATTTACAGGGGTGCCAGGTCTTACCTGGCTGCAGCAGAAATGGGTTCTCACCTCTGACATCAGCCACTGGGAAGGGCTCTGTTACTCCCATTCCATCAGCCGAGCCACTGCCTGCACACTTCCCAGGAAACAAAGTGTGTCTGTACACAGCTTCACTCGAAGCCTCAGAAAGCCTCTCATTGCTCGAGTGAAGTGTGGTTTTTAAGAACAGGATACGATTTTAAATGTATAAACACACACATACATACATACATACATATATACATACCCATACACACACACACACAGACACACACACACATGAAACTAGAGAAATAAGCCAAGCATATGAATTTCTCTTCTTTGCTCTCTAGCCACGTTGGCCTCTTTTAGATCCATAAATGCATTTTGTTCCTTCTTGCTTTTCAGCATGCAGGGGCCCTGCACGAAGTCCCTTCCCTCTTACCCAGCTAAATCCTATCACTCTTGAGGCCTCGCCTTGATGCCATTTCCTTGGGAAAAACCCATGAACTCCTAAACCAGGTCAGATCTTCCTGTTATACAACCTGGGCTCTCAAATCATGAAGTAGTTACTTGTTTAACAGCATTCTTCCCCGCTAGATGATGGGCTGCAAGTGTCCCGACATGGTTTCCCAGCTTCTCCTTAGAGATGCTCACCCCTATTCCCCCGGTTCCTGCCACCACCTGTGCTGGAATCAGTGCAGGTTTGAATAGCATGTCTCAGGTGTGACTTTAACAGCCAGGGTCTGACCTGACTCTGCCTCAGAGCCATTGGGCTCTGGAGTCTCTGAAAGCAGGGCTGGTCCTCTCTGTGGAGGTGATGAGCTCAGTGGAGGCCACCCAAGTCTGTCTTAGTCACTGCTACTCTCCCAGGACATGCGTAGTGCCAGGTTCACAGTAGACACTCACTAAATGCTCATTGGATGATTGAATGCATGTTAGATGCATGGCAGCCTTGGGGCACAAACTACTTCTGGCAGTTGTAGTTAGGATGACCTTATGTCCTATGCCTGGGAGAAGTCCTGATTCATGTTAGCTGTCCTCTCTCTCTCAAGAATGTCCTAGTTTAGATGACAAGTGATTTGGATGCTCTAGAAGCATCTGCCAATTCAAATTCTTCTTTCTATTCAATGAAAACATCTTAATTTCTTTAATGAAGAAATTAAAACTATTTCAAGGTGTCCATATTTTTGAACCAATTTTTATACTGTCCAGCCAGCAGGTGTTTTAGACTTGTGCTCTGAGCTAGAAACAAAAATAGAAGTTTTTTCTTTCTCTTGTCTGCAGAAAGTTGTCACCAGCCTGCCATTGCCCCATGCATTTTATAAAAGTCAGTACTCACTCAACTCTTGTTTTTGCAGGAGAGAGCTCGTCATAATTCCATTTTCTTCCCAATGTCTTAACCCTTACGTCCTGGGTGGAGACAGTCACCACCACAGAGGGCAGTGATGAAAATACGTCACTCAGGGGTCTAAATTCCTTCCTCACTTTGCTCCTAGATTCAACAAAAATTTGCATATAACTCACTTTTTGTCCTGTTACAAAAATAATAAATGTCCAACTTGAAAAATGTAGAAAATACCGACACTCAAAGAGAAGAAAATCTACATCACCATAATTCCAACCTCTAAAAATAGCCACCACGAGTCTTTGGAGATAAACTACCCCCAAGTAAATATACCTATTATACAAAAATGAAATACTTAGAGGAGTTGAAAAAAATTAGTACAGAGTAATCTAACAAACACATCTGTGCTATTCACCAGCAGAATGAGTCAATGTGGGCATCTGTAATAATACGTGGCTGTGTATGTATTTATCTGTGTGTATGAAATGAAATGCTGCAGGGAAAGTTGCAGGGAAAGCCGGCATCTCCTTGGTTCCTCTCTCTGACTTTCCAGTCTCCTTCCTATATTCTTCCTTATAATCTGTTTTTTTTTTTTTTTGGAGACAGTGTCTCACTGTCGCCCAGGCTTGGGTGCAGTGGCATGATCTCGGCTCACTGCAACCTCTACCTCCCAGGTTCAAGTGATTCTTCTGCTTCAGTCTCTTGAGTAGCTGGGATTATAGATGCCCACCACCACATCTGGCTAATTTTTATATTTTTAATAGAGACAAGGTTTCACTATGTTGGCCAGGCTGGTCTCAAACTCCTGACCTCAGGTGATCCACCTGCCTTGGCCTCTCAAAGTGCTGGGATTACAGGCGTGAGCATGCCCACCTGTCCCTATAATCTTAAGGCATATTCTTTTGTATGGCTATGAGGCTGTTTAACAAATGCCCTGCCATTGAACATTTCCATTTTTGCCTCCAGGGGTTTGACATAGGTGACATTACAATGGCGATGAGGGCTGACTTTACATTCAGACAAAAACTGGTTTTCAGTCAGGGCCAAACCACTTGTCAGCTGTGCAGCCCTAGTCAGGTCCCTCAGGGGATAAACAAGACTGACATCGGCCCTCCTGGGTCTCACGGTATATAGCAGGGGGGTTGAAAGTTAAGCCTCTGCAGGCAGCTGCTTTCTGAACCCCGGTTCTGCTGCTTACAGGCTGTGTAAACTTAGGAAAGGGCTTTAACTTCTCTGTGGCTCAGTTTCCCTGTGTGTAAAATCAGGGATGACAGTAGCAACTCAAACCCACCCCAAAGGGTTATGGGAAAGAGTCTAGAATACAATGGATGACTTTTGCACAGCACCTGGTACATAATAGTTAGGACTCATTCTATGCCTCTTATTTGAGTCAAGTTGAAATAAAATAGAATTTAGACATCAAACAGGATGTTTCTCGTCCATTACAATTTTCTCAGCTGGAGAAAATGAAGCTCAGAAGAGTTAGGGATTGGCTGAGGTGCCACCGCTAGCTTCTGTCAGCTCGAGGAGTGGAAGCCAAATGGGGACGGCCACCAGTGTGCCTTCTCTGGTGCTTTGAGCCACACTGTGATAAGGAAAGCAAAAATTCATAAACAGAAATGGTTTACATCCCTTTGGCATGCTTTCACTCTGCAGAGTCCCACGGCAGTTCTTCCCAGCAGACGGTCTGCAGCATGTGACAGGTACCAGTCACTACTCTGCGTGCGATTTGCTCCAGGGCACGATAAGGCAGGTGTTACCCTAAGGTTCGGGGACTTTGCAGATACTAGAGCCTTGGGGTGCAAAGCTCCGTGTGTTTTGCTCACTGCTGAGAAACAGAAGCCTGTCTACCAGGAGAGCTTGTCATCATTTCCCTTTAGGGACCTGATCCGTGACTCTGGCCACCAAGAAATCAAAAGCTCTAATTGTCTGTCAGAGAGTCCCCAGGGGGTGATGGAGGGTGGGCATGGTTAGGAGATGCAAGTTGCTTGGCAGTACGTAACCCTTCCCGACCCGTGATCTTGTGGCTGTTCACATGATTTTTCATCTTGCCTAGAGCCAGCTGAGGCACATCGAACCTTTGTGCCCTGTCGGCCCTGGCCCAGCCCAACAGCAGGTGCAGACATTAAGGGGTTTCCTGTGGCTGGGCACTGCCAGCAGCCCGGATGGGCAAGAACTGGAGCTGGAGGACTTCGTTTTCCATGTCACGTTCTCCCAGTTCTTTTGCTTATTCTGTTCCGTTTTGGAATGATTCCTGGATTTCTGTTGCTGAGATGAACAAGGACATATCCCCAGAAGCAACAAATACAGTTTTCTTTTGAGGATAAATCACCTGGGTTTCCACAAGATTATCCAAATATAGGAATACAGCCAACAAGACTTCTGGAGATTCTTCTCAATCCTATCTTGCTAATGTTATAATATCTAGGAATGTGTTCTAAAAACCTGTAAACCACCAGACTTGCTCGTCACCGGTAGCCCTTTTCTTTATGGTCACAACAATAAAAAGTACTAGGGCTCACATTTTGATAAAATTTTTAAAACATCTCTCTTTTTCAAGACCTCTTGGAAGAAAATAGGTTGTAGGCTGGGTGCGATGGCTCACACCTGTAATCCCAGCACTTTGGGAGGCCGAGGCAGGTAGATTGCTTGAAGCCAGGAGTTCAAGACCAGCCAAGGCAACATGGCAAAATCTACTAAGAATACAAAAATTAGCTGGGTGTGGTGGCACGTGCCTGTAATCCCAGGTCCTTGAAAGACTGAGGCACGAGAATTTCCTGGGAGGCAGAGGTTGCAGTGAGCTGAGATTGCACCACTGCACTCCAGCCTGAGTGACAGAGCAAGACTCAGTCTTAAACTCAAAAAAAAAAAAAAAAAAAAGAAGAAAGAAAATAGGTTGAAAAAAATAATATATAAACATACATACATCTAGATATTTCAAGTATGTATACACTATATATGCATATAAAATATCTATGTATACATGCTAAATTATTTCACAATCTATTCGTAAAAAATAAGTTGTAAATCTGAGCCAGCCTAGGTGACTTGTGTGACCAGCACATATA